GCCCCAGGATTTCTAAAGCAGGAATGCAGCACTGCAGGTGGAAGATTCAGTTTATGTGCTGGATGGGACCAGAGCAGGCAAGTGATCCTATCCTCATCACTCTGGTGGGGTTGTTTGAAGTGTTGTTTTCAGACAGAATCTGCAGCAGTCATAGAATCATGTAATCATAGAATGGCTTGGGTTGGAAGGAACTCCCTCATCATGGACAAGGATGCCACACACTAGATCAGGCTGCCCAGGGCCCCATCCAACGTGGCCTTGAACTCTTTCAAGAATGGGGCAGCCACAGTTTCCCTGGGTCAATGGTTCCATTGGCTCACCACTGTCTGTGTAAGAATTTATTCCTAACATCTAATCTAAATCTTTCCTCTTTTATTTCAAACTGTTCCCCTAGTTGTCCTATCAGTATCTGCCTCTGTAAAAAGTTGCTCTCCATCTTTCTTATAAGCCCCCTTCACATCCTGAAAGGCCTCAATGAGATCTACCCGGAGCCTTCTCTTCTCCATGCTAATAACCTCAAGTCTCTCAGCCTGTCTTCAAAGGAGAGTTGCTCCAGCCCACTGAGCATCTTTGTGGCCTCCTTTGGACCTGGTCTAACAGGTACACATCTTTCTTCTGCTGAAGACTCCAGGTCTGGACACAGTACTCCAGGTGGGGTCTCATGAGGGCAGAATAGATGCAAAGATTCACTTCCCTCAGCCTGCCAGTCACACCTTTTCTGATGCAGCAGAGGATGCAGTTGGCTTTGTGGGCTGCAAATGCGAACTGTTGGCTCATGTACATCTTTTCATCCACCAGAACACCACAGGGCTGCTCTTAATGTAAATGTGACTCATGTCCTAGTCTGTACTCATGTCTGGGATTGTCCTGATATAAGTGCTGCACCTTGCATTGAATTTCTTAATTTTCATGAGGTTTTCATGTGCTCACTTCTCAGCTTTGTCCAGGTCCCCCTGGATAGCCCTATCCTTCTGTAGTGTCATCTGTACTGCTCAGCTTCGTGTCATCTGCAAATGTGCTGAGGAGGCACTCAATCTCATGTCTCTATCATTGAAGAAAATATTAAAAAGCACTGGTCTCAAGACAGAGCCCTGAGAGACATCTCTCATGATTGGCCTCCACCTGATCATAGAGCCATTGACCAAAACTCCCTGTCTATGTCCATCCAGCCATTTCCCTATTCACAATAGTACACCCTTCAAATCCATGTCTCTCCAGTTTGGAGATAAGAATGTTGTGTGGGACCATTTCAAAGACCGGACAGAAGTTCAGGCAGAGGACATTGGTCAGTCTTCCTTTGTTGACTGTTTCAGTCCCTCCATCATAGAAAGCCACCTGGTTGCTCAGATACGAGTTGCCCTCAGAGAAGCTTTGCTGGCTGTTGTGGATCACCTCCTTGTCTTGTATGTGATTTAAAATTGCTTCCATGAGGATCTGCTCCATGATCTTTCCAGGCACAGAGGTGGAGTTCACCAGTCTGTAGTTCCCCATGTCTTTTGTTTCCCCTCTTTGAAAATCCAGCCTGCAACTGGATGCCCAAGGACTTCTGTGCATGAAGATGGTCCATGTCCTTCTCTATCCCTCCCTCCTCAGCTCACTCTGATGGGTGATCCTGTGTTATCTCCACATGTGTGCATTGGGCTGCTGGTTTTGACTCTGTCCTGCCTAACACTGCCCTCAGGAAAAATTTCAGGCTTGTTTTGACTTATCCACTCTCTGGTGAGTACATAAACATTGCCATGGGCTTACCTGGAGCCTTGTCCTTCCCCACAATGCTCTAACCCTGCCTTGGTTGTCCCCAGGTGTCCTCAGCAGAGTTCACAGTAGGCTGTGTTCCTACATGTGTTCATGTCTTGGGTGATCTGTGTGCAGCCAGACTTGTATGAATGTACCAAATATTTGACAGGTCTACAAGAGCTTATGTCTTTTTGTGTCTCTCCTCACAAACAGACTGTGTTGCTCATGGCAGGGGCACTCTCCATGGCTCAGTTCATGAGCTCTGCAAAGCAGCATTTTCCCAGCATCAGCAGAAGCTCAAGTGCAGTTGAAAGGTAATGGCATCAGCCTCCTAGAAATCTCTCCAAGAGGCACTGTAATGCAGCCCCTGTTTCCTGAAGCCTCCTTCTGTTCCTATGAAGCTCACACTCCACTGCTGCTGATACCAAGCCCCAACGAGGACCATTTTCCACCAATTAAGATCCTTAGTTCATTTCAGTGTACCAGCACTGGGACTGCCTCAGCATGGTAGGCAGTCCTCCTCTGCCTGCCTCACCAGGCCAGGGCACAGCTGCTAGACAGTTTTGAAAGGATGGGGTTGGCTTTATGGATCTGGAGAAAGGATAAGGAATCCTACCCTCCTTGTGCAGGCCATGTCCAAATAAATCTGCTTCCAGTGAATTGCTGGTGCTTTCAGGTGTGGGACACAGCCCTCCTTCATGCCAAAGCCAATGTCAAATGTATTTGTGCGATTCATTGACCTGGTGCTGTGTCAGGCTGAGGTCTTGGCCCAAACAGATACAGAATTTAAGAATCACTGTACGTGATATCACTGTGCACTGGAGTGAAAGGGCAGAGCCACTGCATGTTGCCCAGGGAAAGCCAGGGAGGTGCTGGGGCTACTGTGTAGACAAGTGTTGGTGGGAATGCCCCAACATTTGCTCTGTGGTTGGGCTGGTCCCTGCACGTGCCATTGCATCCCTGGGGCAGGGGTGGTGCCAGTGCCCTGGGGCACTGTGGAGCAGAGAGAGTGCCAGGTAGAACAGGGAACTGGATTGCCCATATATTGCCAATTCACCCAGTGACCGCAGTGCAGCTCTTGTGGGGGAGAAGGTGAGGCATGGGCATCACAGGAACATGTCCATTGTCCAAAGAGGTGGAGGGGTTCAGTGGCTCTGCCCCAAATCTTCGGCAGGAAGAATGTGCAGGGAAGTTTCCCTGTTGGTCCCTTCATGCAAAATTTAGCTTTGCCTTCATCAGCTCCTTCCCTGCATCCAGGCAATTGTAGATGTCTGAGATGTGCCGGCCTTTTAATCGATCCCTTAAGCTGAGAATGAAGGTTGAAAAAGAAATTTCAGAGTAGTACACAGAAAAAATCCCTAAGTGTCTATATTAAGAGTGAACCCAGATGTCCTTCACAGAAACTCAGAGAAGACGAATGCCAGGAGCATGTCATGGAAAGGAAGAGGAATGTGGGACACTGATAGGCCCAACTTTCTGTAGGGATACTCTGTGCTGTGCTGTCATCAGCCCTGTTACCCACCATCTATGAATTGTGAAGGGATGGTTAAAAAGCAGAGATTTCCAACAGATATGCACAGGGTACAGATATTTTGTGGCTCTGAGGCCTGCAGAACTTGGCTTACACAGCCTCCATCAACCTTATTGCCAAGAGAGATGTGTTCATCACCTTGATACCTCTGTCATCCTAGTTCACCCTTGGTCAAACAGGCAAGAGGAGACAATGTTGTCAAAGGAGTTCACAACTTGACCCTCTGGAAGAACAGAACATCTGCCTGCATTTCAAGTTCCCAGATGGGGAAAGGGCAATTTACACAGTGTCCCTTGTGGATGGAAGGATGGACGGATGGATTCTGTTTATCAGGCTCTTCCTGACTGAGGCCTCTAAAGCGCTTTTGATCAAAGTGCCCAAGAGCATCAGTCTAAGCAAGAGGGACTCCCATGGACAAAACTTGTCTGCCACAGAGAGGTCACAGACATGACTGAGTGTGTCCCATTGTCACCTCCACAGCTCAAGGGATCTAGAATGACTTTGCACAGAGCTTTTCTGGAGCAGAGCTGGTTCTGACGCAGCAGGGCTTTGCAGGTGCTGAGCTTGAACATAGCTGCTCCACCCGAGCTTGGGAGTGACAAAGCTCCACCGGTCAGTGATGGGCCTGTGGGCACCAATTACTGTCCTTGGACTGCCCTGGCCCGTGGGATTCCCAGGGACCAAGCGTGAGACCCAGAGTAGTTAATCCCAATACTGACTTGTGAATGAACTCTACCTGCCTGCCAAAACCTGGCTCCTGCCATGGGCCTCAGCAGTGGTAGGGCTGGATAGGGGAACTGACCCTGGCTGCCCATGCCCATGTGTGCTGGCCAGGCCCCAGATTGGGCAATAGAGGGGAGGAGAAGGAGGACATGAGGCCATGGGCCATCCCTGAGGCAATTCCACCCATCCACACTCCTGCTTTCCTTTGGGAACATCTTCTGTCTCCCCTGCCACAGCACTGACCAGAGCAAGAGGTGCCCCATTCCCGTGATCCTACAAGGTGTCTTGTCTCCATGAGCTTCCATGGAATTCTAGCTGTCACTTGAGGACAGCAGAGGTTCTTGTAGGACCTGTGGGGAGATGTCTGGGCAGAGACACTGCAAGGCAAGGGCTGATTGCCACTTGGTCTGGGGTAGCTGAGAATATTTTACATACGGCCCTAGGATAGTGCCCTGAAGAGGACCCTCTGCAGCATGTCCCAGTCTCACATTTTTCTGGGCAAAGGATCTTCCTACATCATCACCTTGACAGGATCAACACCATTACCCCGAGGTGATATAACTGAGGAAAGGACCAGCTGGAGACTCAGGCTGAGATGTAAAAATCTTTATTGAGTTTAAAGATGGAATCAAGGTCACCACAAGCACAGGACCTCAGTGCAGTGGTCTGGAGGGACAAGTAAGAGACTTCACCTCTTGGCCATGGCAAAGTCCATGCAGGGCATCCATTTGCCTTTCCTGTAAAGTGCAGGCTGGCTTGGAGGAGCCTTGCAGCCCGGGGGAGCAGAAGAAAAGAATGAAAAATGAGAAAAGGAGGTATGTAGAAATATCAAAGGAAAGACATGGGCCATGTTTTCAAAGTGCCCAGGCTGGCCCCTTCCTGCCAGCATTCTTAGGAGGAGCTGAAGATGCTCAGTTCCTCTGAAAGAAATGACCTGAAGATTCTCTCTTTGTTCTCGATGTCTGGACATCTTGGGGAAACCTCCCAAGACCTGTATATGCTCAGCAGCTTTAGCAGGGGAGGCTCCTCCTGCCACCATAGCGCCTGGTGATGCAGGAGAGGTCAAAGCCCCCGGAGTTGATGGGCACTCCGTCACAGCTGAGGATGCTGCCAACGGCAGCGGAGGTGGAGGATCCCACCACGGTGTTCTGTGGGAAGGAGCTGAGGATGGGCCCGGGCAGGGTCACCACCACAGCAGGCGGCTCAATGACAACAGTGGAGTCCTGGCACTGCCTGACACAGGGCTCATTGCAGCTGTTGGC